AGTGCACGTCAAGCGTCCTTAGCGTGCAGCCTATGCTCCAATTCGCTGGCACCAGAGCAACAGCGAGTCTTACTTGAAAAAGAAGAAACAGCCGTATACATGCCTCGCGATTGCGAGGCCTCGAGGCTTACAGCAGACAACCTTATGTTAATGTTTTTTTCTTCTTTGTTCCTCTAGGATCATTTGCGAACAGGTCAGCCACCACCCTCCCGTGTCTGCCTTCCACGCTGACAGCGAGCACTTCGTGTTCCATGGCTCTATTCACCCCAAAATCAAGTTCTGGGGCAAGAGCGTGGAGATCACGCCCAAGGGCGTTGTTACTGTCGAGCTGCCTAAGTAAGTTTCCCCCGTGGATTGCTGCTCATACATGTAGTGACCCATGCTTTAGCACTGCATGCACTCCTTTTTAACAGAGGCATATGGGTGCTTCACATTGTGATGCACGGGTACTCGACATTGGCCAATTTACTAAAAATCACAATAAAAATGTTTTTGCCCGGCAGATGGAAAGAGGCGTACACCTGGACCAACGTCAACTGTTGCGTGCACAACATCATCATCGGCAAACTGTGGATAGAGCAGTCCGGTACAATGGAGGTGGTGAACCATTCCACAGGCAAGTGGTGATCCGGTGGTTAAACCCTCATTCAAATAGAAATGCGTTGATAAATTTTCATGAATGTCAAAGAAGTTAATATATGATTATTTAATCATGCACTCCTTTTCACATTTGAACATACAGGGTGGCCGCGGCCGCTCTGCCCCGTTGTTTTAAAAAGGTAGACTAGCCCGCTCGCACCTACCTCTCCAGTCTCCTCCCCGCTCCGTCTGTCAGCGGGCTAGTCTACCTTTTCAAAACAACGGGGCAGAGCGGCAACCCTGTATAATGCAGCTGAATACTCACACTTAATTATCATATCCACAAGCATTTGCCGGTTTTCGGAGGCTACAAAGAACTCACTTTTCGATTTCGAAGAAATGCTTTGTAGTCTACAAATCCCCTCAACTTTCGCTCAAACTCTTTGCAAATTGCCAACCGTTTGCGAGGCGCGATGTTATAGAAATTTGACAGTGCATTTTATCTTTTTATTTTAGGTCACCGTGCAATTTTAGACTTCAAGTCGGGTAGCAGTTCGAAAGACATGCACCGCGTAGAAGGCTTTATCGTAGACAAAGAGTAAGTATCATGAAACAGTAAGATTACTGCGAGTGCTGGATTCTATGCAGTGTTCGTTTGAAATTGAATACTAACCCAATCCTACCATTCTCTAATTCTAGTAAAAAGAAAATTAAATTCATGTATGGGAAATGGACCGAGCTTTTACGTTCGACAGACCCGCAATCATATGAAGACTACTTGAAGGAAAACTCCCACAAGTTCAAGTAAGACCGCCACGCCAAAGCCTATCCTGGTGCACTGTAAAGTACACATTGGCGTCCAAGTTTCTCGTCTTCATTGAGTCTAATTACACCATTTCTACATCTCTTACTAAAGCGATATTGCTGTTTTTGGCATGGTACGGTACTACACTAACCGTGTGATTTGAGTTTTATCACTGCAAAAAATGTTGTCTGGTAGATCAACAGAAACGTTAATTAACATCACGCATCCACACATTGAAAATTCAAGATATGACTGACTTTCTCTGGGACGAGAAACTTGACTACCCGTTTATTAGTGTGTAAGCCCCCAACCCCGCTATGCAAACAATGACAATGAAACTTTGATTTTAATTCTAGGAGCGAAAAAGAGAAGAAGGACAGCAAATTAGACAGCAGTCCCGCCCACACTCCTAAAAGAGTTCTCGCCAAGCTAAACTCGCTTAAAGTTAGCCCCTTCAAAGCTAGCGTCAGCACGGATGTAAGTAAAACTCCCAAATTGCTTTGTGATGTTGTGGTTGTCGTGGCGAGTCGTAGGTGGGGCGCCCGGAGGGTTGGGGCGCTCCGTGCACAGCTGATCTTAGTGTTGTCACCCGGACGGGGTCGTGTTGGCCGCCCTTCTTCAGGCGACAAGCCTTTAGTCGGTTGGGATTTAGGGATCGTCTAGAAACAACATCTGCTTTTCCGATACTTACTCGGCAAATTGGGGGAGCTGAACGCCTGTGAGACTCGGGGTAGGCCGACCCGCAGTACACGCATGCCCTTCAGGCCGGATGTTGCCTACCCATCAGGCGCTCGGAGAGCTTGCATTGGATGAACGAAGCCGGCGAGCGTGGATCGGCGAGTTTATTGCCTGGATAATAACTTCACTGTCAAGCGAGTGCGTGCTGCTGATCGCGCTCTCTAAATGTAAAAGAAAAACTTTGTCTCTTAAACGGTTACTTCCACCTCCAGGCTGCACATCAAGACTGGATATACAAAAAAGTGCACAGCAACTTTGCCATTTAATATACAAAAATATTTCCTTTTCCACTTTAATCTTACGAGCAAAAAGTGTTCATAGTGTGAGTTTGTGTTCGTATTATGACAGCACAGAAATGGTTCATATAGTGTACGACGTTCATAATATGAACAGTGTTGATCGTAAGATTTTAAGAGTGCACATGATGAGTGTCGACGTCGACAAGGTGCGGGTATGGTTCCTTTTATTTCATGATTTATGTTTGACAGAACGATGACGGGCCGGACGACCCTCCCGAAGGTGACATTCCGCCAAGTGAATCAACGTACTCCATCGACATTCCGAACTCGGTCACCCTTTGGGAGGCGGACCAGCGGCCCGAGAACAGTACAGACGTAAGTAGAGGGCGTTCTGAGTATCTCGACCCAGACACACATCATGCAGCCGAGCGGGCGCACTTGGTCCCTATTTGTGGCCACAAAAATGCGAGGGGGTTTTCACTCGAGATTTCCGTGCACACAGTATTTCGTAATACGTGTATTTCGTCGGTATTTCTCAGGAAAAGTTCACCGTTTTGGAGCATATTTAGGCGTATTTCGGTGTATTTCACGTGAAATACCTGTGAAATACCTCATTTGGTGTACACGGTATTTCAGAAGTGAAAACCCCCTCGCAAAAATGTAGACACAAGTCCGGTGGCCAAAGAAAGTTAAATCGACCACATAATTGTGGCCACAAACCCGACGGCCAGACTCAGCTTAATTCGAGTCGACTATAGAAGATTACTTTTGAGACCATTTTTGACACCCGACGCCGACGCCCCCAGCCACACGCCCCACTGTAGCTACAGCCAAGTCAGCTTAAACTGAACCATCTATATACGAATTCATTTACTTCCGCCAATGCTAGAATATCAACCAGAAGTAAACTGCGCTAAGAACTGTAGCGAAAACGAAAGATATCAATGCCTCTCCGAAGCTCTCGCCTTGTCCAAGCGCTCGGAGGGAAAGGGGCCCCGGTGGCCCGATTCAGGAAAGCACTGCCCACCCTCCAGGCGTTTTCAGCGACAATCATCGACCCACGCCTAGTTTGACACGGCGTCACTTCTTAGCTTTAGAAAGGATTTATGAGACTGGAGTC